AATTGTGTATGGTTCAGCTTTCTGAGGCTGCGAAAATATATCTAAGATATCCAATCCAAAAATAAAATACATTTGGAGATATTTCTATTTATAAATAACTTAATGTAATATTGTGTGTATGGGAGTCAGTTCTCGCCTCTCACCATGTGGGCTCTGAGGACTGAATTCTGATCATCAGCGTTAGTATTTAGGCAGCCTGCTTCTGGTTTGCCTAGTAACCTATGATGTCATCATGTATTGCTCGCCAGGTAGACACGCCTGGCAGGCGTGGTTCAGTTGTATAAAAAGACTAACCCACCACTTTGTCGCTCTCTTGCCTTTTTGCTCTGCTCTCTTGCTGTCTCCTGAACTCTCCCCTTTTTCTGACAGGACGCCCCCTCCCCTCCCCTATCATGTCTCGCTCTCTCCATCCAATAAACCTCTTTCATATAATATCTGTAGTGCCAATCATCATTTCAATCAGGCTTGGGGGTGAGTACCTCTGCCCACTGAAGGAAGTATCTTGATGGCCTGAAATATTAATTTTGACTCCAAGTTGGGTTGTTTGTTTGTTTGTGGTGTGTGTGGGGTTTGCTCCCCTTCATGCTTTCTTTAGGCCTCAAACTCACCGAGATCCACCTACTTCTGCCTCCCCAGTGCTGGGATCACAGGCATGTGTAGAGAAATTTTAATTTACAACATGGCTGCTCTGGCAAGAGATCATATCTCAAGACCTTCAAGACCTTGTATGTGATACAAGACACAGAGGCAAGCAGATCTGAGTTCAAGGCCAGCCTGGATAGAGCAAGTTTCAGGTAAAGAAAAGCTTAGATCCAGGCACATCTTTAATTCCAAGCAATGAAGGCAAAGAAAGTTTTTAGAAGGAACATCCATGTTTGAAAGTGATGTCCAGAAAAAGTGACAATCAGAGAAAATTTGACAGAATAGGATACTTCCAACTCCCAAGAGAAGAGAGAGGAAAGGGAAGCTACTTCATAGGCAGTGCAGAGAAAGAAAGAGAGAAAGCAGTTTTACCGGGACAGTGATAGAGAGTCTAATAGAGAGTCAGGTTGCAGAGACAGAACTCAGGTGAAGACGGAATGAGCCAGAGAATGAGAAAGAGCCAGATTGCTGGAGTTAGTTTGAGGCCAAGCAGAGCAATTCAGGGGCCAAGAGAAATGCCAGATTGAATCAATCAGCTGGGAGAAGAGTTTGAGCCAGAATAACTGAGTTGAACCAGCCAGTACAGAGCTCAGAAAGAACAAGAAAGCTTATTCAGCAGTAAGTCTCAGAGGCTGAAAACATTCTAGGCCTGGGTTAGATTGTACAGAGGACTAGGCCTAGGTTACCTGACAGAGGCAAGTAAGCCTCAGAGAAGACAATTCAAACAGGTGAATAAAAGTTTCCTTTACAGGCCTGTGCTGCCACATCTGGCCTCTTGTTTTGGGTCCATCGCAAGCAAAATACAGTGGAGCCAGCTGCCCACCTCATGATTGCCCAGAATGAGAAGAGCCATGTCCTTCAGTGCTCTCTGATGAACCTAACTTTCTCCCATAAAGCCTGACCTCCCATAGGCTCCACTTCCTCCTGGGGAGCATCCTGGAGAAGTGACTCTCTTTCCTTCTGGCTTTTTTGGTTTCCTGAGACAAAAATCCCACTGTGTAGCACAGGCTACCCCCTTACCCTCCCACCCTAAAGTGAAATTTGACATAAATTTGTTATGTTAATACTGCTATGAGCTACAGACACTGTTACTCTCCTGTTGAGGAGAGTGTACTCTGTGCTTTGAAAGTGATTGTTGAAAATGAGCTCTTCACTTTCAGACATGGCCTGTGTCCCGTGACACCTGATCTGGTCACCTTCAGTTGGAGAGTGTAAGGTGGGGACAGGGGTGCTTTGTTCATGCTTGCTGCTATTCAGCACCTCATGCTGCATCTTCCAAAGGCCAATTTCTTCTGTGTTACCTTTTTTATTTTTCCAGATAGGGTCTCACGCTATAGTCCAGGCTTTCCTGGAACTCACTGTGTGGTCCAGGATAGCCTCAAACTCATAATCCTCCTGCCTTAGCCTCTTGATTACGGGAAACTATTTACCTAGGGTGTGGTGCTCCTTAGTCCCAGTACTTTGGAAACAGAGGCAGGGGATCTCTGTCTCACCTACACAATGAGTTCCAATCTATATAGCCAAGGCTATATAGACTCTGTCTCAAAACAAACAAGCAGAAAATTTATCTGAAAAAAAAAGAAGAAAAGAAAAAAGAAAAAAAGAAGGCAATGTGGAGGCGGCAGTTAGTCTGGCTGTGGACCTGACTTGTGTGAGCTGCCTCAGAGGCACTCTCTGCATGTCTAGGAGGCCTGTTTCCTGGGGCCTGGCTTGAATAAAAAGAGGAGACTGAGCAAGGCAGCCACATGTTTGTTCTTCTGTGTGCTCATCTGACCAAATGTGAGCCACTGCCCAGAGCTGCTCCTCAGACCAGGAGCTAAAATAGACCCTCTCTACTGGATGGCAGCTGGTGGGGACTCATAAGACTCAAAAGAAATAAACATCACTTGTTGTCGTAAATTTTAAAAGATGAGTGTTGGGCTATATATATTGTTTATTATTATTTGCCCTTTGAATATCACAGCGGTATTATTTAACCCACTATCATAAATAATAAGACACAGACACCTGTTAAATTTATAACTGTCTTATTTACCTTGTGCTGGGCAGATATTTTACTTACACTGTCTCAATATCCTCACCATCCATTTCCAGCCTCCATCCAATGCTATCTGCCTTAATCATATCTCATCTGGTTTACCTTTCATCCATAATCCCATGGTGCTTGCTTTTATTCTTTATCTGGGCCTTTCCATGCCATCAGTGGAGACCTTTCTCCAGTCCCATGTGGTTTCTTATCCAAGCTAACCCATCATGGCATCCTTCTTTCTCCTTTCTTCCTGTCTGTCTCCCCATGATTCTCTCTAGAACCCAAAAGCTTGGGATCCTTAGCCACGCCTATTCCATTCTGCCCTGCCCAGGTATAGGCCATTTAATTAGTCAATCAGGTAGGTTTACACAACAAGGCTAGGTGTACCCAGATCTTGAGGGCTAGCAACATACATCAGACCAACCTCCAACATGTCACCTGTCTAAAGAAACTGAACTGTGAAAAGTTCCTGAGCCTCTCTGAGCCCCTCTCTAGGGTGAGAGGAGCCATAGAGCACTCCTGAGGAGGAACACTTCCTAGAAGTGGCAGGGGTTCTCAGGCCTGTCTGCTCTAGGCCCCAAGGTCAGGCCGCCTGATAGAAAGGTCCCAGAACAGTAAGTTTGTTTAGAGGAGATGGCAGGGCCTTCCCTGCTCCCAGTGGGCACCTAGGAAGTATTTTCTCAGGGTCAGCCTCAGAAGGACACATGTATATGCAGGTGCCACTGTGGGCATTCTGGGCTGATAGGGCAGCCAAGTGAGTACTGGTTTTGTGGGCGGCATACTCAGGACCCAAGAGAGAATGGGCTGTGGAGGTTTCCACAAAGTTCCAGAGGGCCAGACAATACGTAGGATGGTCAGATCCCAGGAAGAAGGCCATAGAAAGGCCATTGTGGGAAGCTGGGAGGTGAAACCTATATGGCAATGGAGAGCCCAGAAGTTTAATCTTTTTATTACATTTAATTATTCAGCATATGTGTGTGCATAATGACGTACCTGCCACAGTTTGAGTGTGGAGGTCAGAGGAGAACCTGTGGGAGTCAGTTCTCTCCTTCCATCATGTAAGCCTCAAAAAGCTCCAATTCAGCCCCTCAGGCTTGGCAGCAAATGCCTTCACCTGCTGTTAGCTCCAGACCCCAGAATTTTGAAGATGCCAGGACCACGGTATGTTTCCCAAAGAAAGACATAGGCAAGAGAGGAACTGGCCCGAGAGAGGCTGTGTGTGGGGCCCAGATGCTGCTGTGAAGAGTTCCAGGTACCGAGCAGGTGCTTGAGGATTTGGTATTTTCCCAGCAGCTTTCTATTTTACTTTGGTCTAATTTTTTCTTGCAATGTCCTCATTCTTTCCTTTTGGAATGGAATGTTTAACCTGTGCCCTTGGATATTGAAAGGTTGCTTGAGACAGGCTCTCACTATGTAGTCCCAGCTATCCTAGGATTCACTATGTAGACCAGGCTGGCCTCACATATTGAAAGTATATAACTTTCTTTATATTATTTTCCAGGGGTTCACAGTTAAGGGGGTATTGGAGCCTCAGTACAGGCTTCTGAAGAATGTCAGAACTGTTGAGACTTTGAGCAGGTAGTGAGAGGGCTCAGTGTGTAATGGTGCCTGCCACCAAGCCTGACCCCGAATTTGATCCCAACAACCACATAGTGGAAAAAAGAAAACCAAGTCTTACAAGTTGTCCTCACAGATACACATATGCACCATGGCAGCGTGTACTGTGCCTCCCTCCCTGCAACAAATAACAAACAAAATGATTGTGAGCATATTCAGAGACAAACCAAACACACCTTGCATCATGAGGCCCAAGAGGCCCTAAGCACTGGGCAGGCTGCAGTGCTGCGGGGCACATGTACCAAGTTGGTAGGGGGTGGGCTAGCCACGGGTGCTTGGCACTGTCAGTCTGGCTGGACGTGGGCTCCCTCAGGAGCTTGCAGGAGTGTTTGCAGGGAGCATTAACTGAGGAGCAAAGACCCACCCAGAACAGGGGTGGCACCAGGACGTGGATCAGAGCCCAGAGCCCCTCTTTCTACCATGATGGACTGGAACTGCAAACCCTGAGACCAGAGAAACACTTCCCCGCTTAAATTGCTGGTCAAGTGTTCACAGCAGGAAGAACAAGCCACTTTCACTGGGGTCTAGTGAGCGATGTGTTCATCCACAGCGCCCTCAGGGCCAGGGGTCATGCTCCATGCACAGTGCCCACGGGACCCAGGGATCACGCTCAGATGTTCACGCAGCATCAGAGATCTCTAACACCCCATGTTCCATCATGCACCAACCCAGAACCTAGTTGCTTAAGAACTGAATCTCAGGCTGTTGAGATGAACACAGGAATTTTATTTTGTTTTGGTTTGGTTTTGAGACAGGGTCTTGCTATACAGCTGTCCTCAAGCTCACAGAGATCCTCCTGCCTCACATCTAAACTTTCCCTGTTATAATGTTCACATCCTTTCTGAATAGGTTAAACATGAGTCATAGAAAAGTCCTAGCAAAAAAAGTAGGCTTTTCCCCTGCTCAAGGGCCCCTTCAGTTAAATGGAGATGGAGGGTCCTAAACCAGCAATCACCAACACCAAAGTGGATGCCAAAATAAGCGGTTCTGGTTCACTCAATGGTAGAATATGATGCAGCCATACAGAAAAACATTAAAGACTGGAATTTGTAACAAAATAGACAGAACTGAAGGACATTATGTTCAACGAAGTAAGTCAGATGCAGACCTCATTCCCACGCTCATACCCTGGGCTTAAAAGGATTCGAACTGTGAGGCTCAGCTTGGGACAGAGAGGAAGGGTGGATAAAGACGCTGGGTTTGATGAGTGTGTGTTGCATGCATGCTGAAAATATCTTGTGGGCCCCCATTAATATGTACAATTAGCACAAGTTAATAAAAATAAACTATTACTTTTTAAAAAAAAATCTAAAGAGTTATTGTTCAATGTACCTGAGCATATGTTTTTAAATTACAGCTTAAAATATTATCTTTAAACTTATTATTACTATTGTGTGTCTGTGTGCATGGTGGGAGGTGTGATCACCATAGTGATTGCCACGGTGACCATGTGGAGTCAGAGAGCAACTCTGAAGTCGGTTCTCTCCATCCACCCTTTGGGTGCCAGGGATTCAACTCAGGCCATCAGGGTTGAGCAGCAAGTGCCACTACTCACCCTCACCGAGCCAGCTCACTGGCCAATATCTTTTTAAAAGAATGATCTTTATTAATTGAAGTTTTGTGTGTGTGTGTGAGAGAGAGAAAGAGACTGAGTACAGGTGTCTGCAAAGGTCAGAGGCACTGAAATCCTCTGGGCTCTTTGTGAGGCAGCTGATTGGGTACTAGGAATCAAACTTGGGTCCCCTATAAGAGCAGTATGAATCTTAGCTGCCAAGTCATAACTCCAGACCCAGACCAACTTTTTTTTTTCCAAGTCAGGGTTTTGTTGTTGGTTATCAATATTTAATATTGATTTTCCTAAACCAACTGTATACCCAAATCATCACATGGAGACTAGGATTTACTTAATTAACCTAGAGCACAATGCTGGGCAATAGTTACTCCATCCTAAACCTCCAAGCCATATAGTTTTCTACCATTCAGATTTTACCCATTTTTGGTAAATGGGTAAAATACTTGCTTTTAGTCATGTCTTAGGTCTGGTTCATCTCCCTCATTCTAAGTCCTCTCCAGCAGATCTCTGCTCTTCCACTCTTTCTACTCGCTTCTTTCTCCTCCTCTCTGGACCAGGATTCCTACCCTATTCTCTCCATTGCACAGCACTGGCTGGGTTTATTGAAAATACAGAGAACAAATGGTGGCATGTTTACACAAACTTGAGACAGGTGATGCTTAGAATAAACATCCCAATGCAATGTCCGGATTGAAAGCAAGTAGAGAAATCAGCATTTGAATGAACAAGGGTAAGTTGTATCCTTTCCACATTATACCAACAGGGTTTCTTTGTGTAGCCTGTCCTGGAACTTGCTCTATAGACCAGGCTGGCCTCGAACCAATATTATTTTTTTTTTTAATGAAACTTGACACTAACATTTTCAGAACTGCCAAAGCATTCATTGGAACCCTCATTTGGGAAATAAGTAAGGAGATATCTTCAAAGGCCTGATTTTGAAGCTAGAATGTACCTCAGCAGCAGAGCCCTTTCCTGGACTCCCCTAGTAAGGGGCTGGAGGGATTGCTCACAGCAGAACACTGGCCTCCAAGTCCTGGGTTCCATGTCCAACACAGAGATATAAGTTGTTTTCTAGCGCAGCTTTTGTTGAGTCTGTCTAGAGTCCCATGGAGTTAAGGAGAGCCCTCAGTTCTAAGGTCTGACTATAGCAAGGCTCCAGAAAAGCCAGGCTCACTAGGCATAGAGCAGAGAGCCACTTCAGGACAGAGGGTCTGGCAGCAAAGCAAGGGGATGTTAGCATGTCCTGCTGTGGCAAGGAGCTGAGCCAAGCAGCTGGGTCTAGAGGTCATGACTGCCGTCTAACAGGAAGTGGATGCTGGAGGGTCAAGACTGCACCAGCAACTTTGGCTACTCATGGAGTATGAGGCCAGTCTGGGTAACATGAGTCCGGGGGTCGGGGGAACACATGTGGGTGCGTGTGTATTTGTATTGGTTGAGTCAGGAATCATCCTTGACTTCTCTTCCACCTTATTCACTGAACAGGGTCTCTTAATCAAACCCAGAGCTCTCCAGTGTGTCTAGGATCCTCAGCAACCTAGTTAGCTTTAACTGTCAACATCACACAGCCTAGTGTCACCTGAGAAGAAAGTCTCAATTGAAGGATTGCTAAGATCAAATTGGTCTATGGGCCTGTCCAAGGGGCATTGTCTTGACTGTCAATTGACATAGGAGGGAGCCCACTGTGGGCAGGTGGTTCTGGGGCTGAATAAAAAAGCTCAGCTAATGATTAAGAGAAAGGCAGAAACAGTATCCTCCATGGTTCTGGCTTGTGGTGGTTTGAATGAGAATGGCTTCCATAACCATATGTTTGAATGTCTGGCCACCAGGGAGAAGAACTGTTTGAAAGGATTACAAAGGTTAGGAGCTGTGACCTTGCAGGAGGAAGTATATCATGGGGGTGGGCTTTGGAGTTTCAGAAGTCCATGTGAGGCCCAGTCTCTCTGCCTGCCTGTCTGCAGATTGTGACACAGCTCTCAGCTACTTCTCCAGCACCATGCCTGCCATGCACACCACTACCCTCATAATGACAATGGACCAGGCCTCTGAAACTGTAGGCCAGGCCCTAATTGAATGTTTATTTTACATGAGTTGCCGTAGTCATGGTGTCTCCTGACAGCAATAGAATGGTGACTGAGACTCTGTTCTTCGTCCTTGGCCCAGTGAGTTCCCTGGTCATGCTGAGCCCAACAGCCAGCAGTCTTGCCTTCAGTTCTTGCTTGAATTCTTGCCCTGACTTCCCTCAGTGTCAGCCCGTGGCCTCCCAAGAAGCTGAATGAACCCTTTCCTCCCTGTGTTGCTTCTGGCCACATGTTTTTGTTATAGCCGAGTGAAACTAGAATAGCCTGTCCCCACCTTCTGGGGCTGGACTTACAGGTAGTGACAGTGTATACCCATTACATGCCTGGGTTCTGTTGTGTAAACACCAATCCTCACAGTGGGTCCACAGGTGCTTTAAGCCCTGAGCCATCCCTATCCCTGTCTCTCTACAGAACTCTGGCTGTCCTGGAACTCACTCGTAGACCAGACTGGCCTTGATCTCACAGAAACCCACCTTCCTCTACTTCCTCATTGTTGAGATTGAAGGCTGTGCCACCACCCCACCCAGATGAAATTTTTACATACCATTTTTAATCTCAGAACAGGAGCTAACTGTGCCTGTGGTGTCAATCACCAGCTTTGAAAGGGCAAAAGTTCGTGGCATGATAATCCAGACCTCTGGCTTTACATGTGGGAGCGGAAAGACTGGCAAGACAGCGCTGGCTTTGCAGTGTGGATTACAGGCTGTTATTGGCTGCTCACTGCCATCCAAGACAGGACAACACCCATTACATCCCAGCAGTCCCTCACTCTCGGCCACAAAGCAGGTGCGTGGCCCTCCACTAGGTCGCTCTTGGTCCTCCCAGTGATTGCAGATCATTCCAGAGTCAGTGGTTGGCTCAAGGATGAGTTGTGCCACTGAGACCAACAGAGGCAGAGCCAAGGCTTTGCTGCAACTTCTTAGAGTAGGGTGGGAGATATGGGCTGCTGCTAACCTAAGGGCAGGTCTGAGAGCTCAACAGAAAAGTGAAAGACGGTTAGTGAGATGGTTAGCCTGGGGTCCACACAGCACCAGCAGAGATGGCCAGTTTGCTTCAAGCAGTTGAGTCAAGGCTAGCTCCTGCATTCTCTGCCTCAGTGGGCTTTCACAGTATAAGGCAGACCTGTGAGCCTTTATTTGATTTTGATTTCTTTCCCTCTGAAGCTGCTGGCCCTGTATCCCGGGGGGCCTCTGCCGAAGCCTGTTCTTCTCTCTGCCTGGTCTTAACTAGCCACACTGCCTTCTTAAAATTCTTGAGAGGGTCTTTCTGGGAAGCTCCGGCTGAGGGGCACTGAAAGCGCTCTCGGATGAGATAGCCATGGCTTGTGGGAGCCATGAAACCATTGCTGGTGGGGATGATTCGGTTGACCACAGCATGGACAAACTGGACAGCCAGGAGGGTGCCTGGAATGGGGAAAGGGAGGATCATGAGAAAACTGGCACCAGAGAGGAGTGTTACTGCAGTTAGTAGCATGCTAGGCCTGAAACACAAGGACCTGAGCTTGATTCCTATCACACATGGAAAACACTGAGTGTAGTGATCCATGCTGGCAGTCCCAGTGCTGGTGACACCGAGAGGGGAGGCTCTTTGGGGCACCCTGTCCAGCCAGCTTGACCTAATCATTGACCCCAAAGTACATCCTCTCCAGCACATGATCACCACCCAAGTTCAGGGGCACAAATCCAGTGGACTCCAAAGGGGTCTGCAGGCCACGTGTGGAGTGTGCTGTGAATCCAGAGCATGGGCCTGGCAAGCAGGTCTTGCAGATATGTCCTATGCTGAGAGACCCAGCTAGAGGCCGAAGCAGGGCTGCAAAGGCCCAGGATGGTGCTTTTCCCTCAGGTCAGAGCTCAGCTGTGGAGGTAGCTCAGCAGGCATGCTGCTTAGTTTGTTGCCAACTTGGCATCAGCTTGGGTCACTGGAGCCTCAATGTTCTCCATTGATCCCTCAATCTGACTGAGCGGTAAGGCACTTTCTGAGTAATGACTGGTGTGGGAGGGCCCAGGTCAGCATGGGCAGTCCTGGGTCTGTGAGGAAGCAGGCTGGGCAAGTCATGGGAACATGTCAGCAGACTGCACCCTCCATGGCCCTCTGCTTCAGTTCCTGACTCCCTGACTTCAGTTCTTAACTTTCTTGGGTGATGGGCTTTAACCTGAAGGAGCAACAGAAAAGAAACATGCCACACAAGCAGAAGGACCTGAGGTGGGGTCCCTGGCACCTGCACAAAAGCCAGGGGCTTTTACAGTGTGGACCTGTAATCCTACCTTGGAGAGACACTCAGGGGTGGGTCCCGGGGGCTCAATGGCCAGTCAGCCTAGTTGAATGGGTGAGCTCTTGTCTCAAAAAATAATATGGAGGGCTAGGTGTGGGGCTGCACTTCTTTAATCCTAGCACCTAGGAGGCAGAAGCAGGCAGACCTTTGTGGGTTTCGAGGCCAGCCTGGTTTATAGAGTGAGTTCCAGGACAGCCAGTGTTATACAGAGAGTCCCTGCCTTGGAAACACAAAGACAAACAAAGACATACACAACCACCCTCCCCCAAATAACACAGAGTAACTGAGGAAGACGCCCAGGCTCAACCTCTACCCTTCACATATGCCTGTACACATGTCCACATGCTCGCTTGCAACACGCAGACACACAGACACACAGACACACAGACACACAGACAGATACTAAAATAAAATAGGCTTTTGCATAGCTTGGTCCCACCCTACAGCAGGACTCACCGTCCAGTGCACTCCAGGCAATGATAGAGCGGTCCTTCATGCCTGCGAACACATACTTGTCGTCCTTTGAGAAGCAAGCGCAGCATACCCCTCGGCAGTAGGAGCTCTGTGAAAACAGGCCGTGAAGTGTACTGGGCATGAGAACTGTGGCGTTTGTCGAGGTTGTTTTACGTGTACTTAATTTATTGATTGGAGGTGCGGAGCTGCGCGCCACGGCGCTGTAAGCAAGGCAGAGGACAACTTGCAGCAGTCAGTTTTGGCCTTACGCCATGTGAGTGGTGGGGACTGAACTCAGGTCCTCAGGCTTGGCTTCAAGCACCTTGACCTGCTGAGCCACCTCACCTAGGATCACATGTTTTAACCCTTGGTCCACAGCTGGTAGTGATATTTTAGAAAGTTATGGAACTTTCACCACGTTTGTCTTCCTTGAAGGAAGTGGGTCACTATGGTTCTGGTCTTGGGGCCCACATTCTGTTCACTCTTGGCTTCCTGTTCCACCAAAAATGTGGAAAATGTCAGGTGTGGGAGTCTGAACTGTACATTCCTGCACTACTGAGCTGTCTGCCCCCTGCCTTCCTTCCACCTGAGGCTGTGTCTCCTCAGAATAACTCTTCCTTTGCTCAGTTGGTTCCATCAGAGACTTGGCAACAAGTTAACCAATACACCCTGTGTTCCTGTGTCCAAACTGAGCATGCTCAGACCAGCCTCACCTGGCCAGCCCCCCAACCTGGAGGCATTGCAGAGCAGACCCCAGAGAGATGGACGAATGGACTTTCCAAGGTGCAAGATCTGTCTTCACTGAGGGGACAGCACGGAGCTGCTGCACGGAGCACAGGTGTGCGTGCATGTGTGGATGAGTGCATTTGTGGTGCGCGCGCGCGCGTGTGTGTGCGCTCCTCCAGAGCAGGAGGATAGCCTTATTAGGAATGCCTTCCTCTTTGAGACCCGGTCCCTCATTGGACTTGTCCTCACCCAGTCTGGCTAGCCAGATTTTTCTTTATTACCTTGAGACAAGCACAGATTGTGTAGCCCAGGCTATCTCAGAACTCCTGATCCTCCCTGAGTTGGCCTCCCAGGGCTGGGATGACATGGGTGAGCCACTCTGGCAGGTTTGCTGAGGTTTGACTTCCCTTCACCTTTGCCCTTCTGATGAGTGCCTTTCTTAGCCTCTTGCATGGTCCCTGTAATCCTACCTTGGAGAGACAGTCAGGGGTGGGTCCCGGGGGCTCAATGGCCAGTCAGCCTAGTGAATGGGCGAGCCCTTGTCTCAAAAAATAGCATGGTCCCTGTCCTCAACAGTGGCAGTAGTCGGCACTTGGTGAGCACCAGCCATGCAGTAGCACTGGAAAGCCCAGCCCAAGCTTGGGTCGGGTCAGTCAGCTGCTGGCAGAGGATGAGGAGTGGAGACTGACAGCAGCGTGCATCATTGTACATTACAACAGACTGTATGGTGGCCCATGCCTGCAATCTCAGCTTTGGGGAGATGTGGACAGGAGCACCCTGTTCCCAAAAACAAGGTGAGGAATGATACCCCCAGTTGACTCCTATCCACACACACATTGCAAAGATGTCCACTCACGGCTAGAATCAGTGGTCACACACAAAGAAAGAAGCAAGGCAGGAGGAGAAGAGGAGGGAAGACTCCAGCACGGTGTCAGGGGCCCAGGCCACCTACCTCATAGCTCATCTCGAGTATCCCCCTGCACGCTTGCAGGTCCCAGAGGCACAGCAGCGCATCCTCCGACCCGCTCACTGCCAGCTGCTCGCTGTGGCTGATGTCCAGGCAGCTCACCCTGTTTCCATGGGCCTCCAGAGGGAACACTTTAGACCTTGCACAGTCGTACAGGAAGAGGCCACCAGCTGTCATGCCATAGAGCACACGGTAGTCGGCCAGCACAGCCACACCAACTATGGTCTCGGGCAACTGAGTGTAAAAGGTGTAGGTGGGGCCCTCGATGGTAGGACATGGGTCCCCGGGGCTGATGTCAAGCACCAGAACGATGTTGTCATAGGCGATGGCCAGTCGGTCCTCACGCTTGCTCAGGGACATGCAGTTGACGGCCTTGCGGGCCTCAGGCGGGGGGATGCACAGCACGTCTTGCCTGGAATTCAGGGGGAACACAAGCACGATCCCTGAAACCAGGCCCGTGAAGAGGAGCTTGGCCTGCTCAGCCACCTCCAGACACCGGACTTCATTGGACGTGTCCAGGGAATCCTGCTCCTTGCCTGCACAGGAGGAAGAGAGTCAGGGCGGATCATCTAGTTTTCTTAGTTTTTTATAATTACAAAAATATGTGTATGGACGACAGAGGACAACTAGTGGGAGTCAGTTCTCCCTTTCCATGGTGTGGGTCCGGGGGTTCAAACTCATGTCTTTAGGCTTGGCTGGCCTTAGCTTTCTTAGTTTAGTGATTTTAACGTCTGACCCCTAAATGGCACCTGCGCCCTCACACATGTTCAGTAAGCCTGGAGGCAGATGGAAACTGGGGACTGATGCATGTTCAGTAGACACTGGGGAGGGGCGGGGACCCTGAGCTCCCACAGACGTGACAGGCATGGGGGGTGAGGTGCAGTAGGGTGGGGGAGAGCAGACCCTGGGAACAGCAGGCCTTACCCAAGCTGGGCTAGTGCAGGAGACACTATCTCCAGCGTGCCCTGTCACAACCTCGACTGGCCCTGGGTTAAATTGTGAGACAGATGCCATGAAGCTACTCCTTCCATATTGAGACATTCCCTTCTGATAGGAAAGGGAGGTGCCTCAGGCTGTGAGCTGCCTGCAAAGCTCCGCAGAGCTCTCGAGAGTGGCTAGGAGCGGGGGCGCTGCAGCTGGCTTTATGCCCCCCCATGTTCCTGTAACTCCAACAGACTCATTGTTCTCCTGGCTCAACCCCAGTGCATTTGTTTCTTGGCGTGATTGCCCTCTCTATCTGGGGTGAACAGAAATAGATACCCAAAAAAAGTCTGGCAACACAGGACCTCCTTACATCACCCAGGCTGATCTCCAACTCTTTAGCCTCCTTCCTCAGCCTCCCAGGTAGCTGGGATTACAGCCTAGTGTGGCAAGTCCAATTTGCATCTAATTTAATTAAAATGAAAATTTCATCACCTCATCATCCAGTCTAGGCCTCCACAGGTATTCCAGTGCAAGTGCCATGCCCACTGCCTTCACACCTGTGGCCACAGGCGGAAGGTTTGAGTCCCCCAAACCACAGCGCAGCCAGTGCTGACCTCCACCTGGTGAGTGGAGGTCAGGGGTTAAGAGTACTTGCAGAGCACCTGGGTTCAGTTTCCAGCACCCACACTGCAGCTTACACCCACTGGCACCTCCAGCTGCCGGGAATCTGACACTCTCTTCTGAGCAACTTGGGCACCAGGAACACATGTGGTGATATATGTACACACAGACAAAACAGTTATTCATAAAATATAGAAATTAAAAAACTTTAAGGAAAGAAATTCATCCACAAGGTGATGGTATTGGGAGTTCTTGAGACCTGATTAGACTCTCAGGAAAGCGATTAGTACTCTTAAAAAAAAAAAAAAAAAGACCAAAGCATTGCCTCACTGGGCTAGTCATGCACAGACACAGAAAAAGACATCTGTGACCCAGAAGGGATTCCTCTGCCGACCTCAGCCCCTCCAGGACCTCTGTCCTGGAGTCTTTGTCATTTATGCTGTACATCTCTGTGTCCATGTCTGTGTGTGCACGCCCAAGGTTGACAGGGGTTTCTTCAAGTACTTTTTAACTTCTTTGCGCATGTGTGAGGGGGTGTGCTTGTTCACACTCGTGTGGGTGCACCTGTATGTGGTGTGTGCCTGTCCACATGAGTGCAGCTGCAGGTGCGGGATGACGCTTCGGTTAGGAGTGTCCCTCGGCCATTCTCCACCATATTCCCTGAGGCAGGGTCTCTCACTGGACCCAGAGGTAGTGAAGTTAACAAGCTTGCTCTGGGGAGCCTATCTCTGCCTCCCACCTGCTGGAATTAGAACCCAGCACTCTAACAGAAGTGGAGGTCCAGCTCAGGTCCGAATGGTTGCAAGCATGCACCTCATCTATGGCGTCATCTCCTTAGCTCCTTCTGTTTGTTATTTGAGACAGAGTTTGTAGTTCTGTCTTGAACCCCTGACCTTTCTGTCTTCATTACCACTACCAGACTTGGTTTATATGGTGCTGAGGACAGAGCCCAGGGCTTCCCAAATACCAGACAAACATTGTATAACTAAGCTACAAGCACTCTACCAATTGAGCGAGTCAAATCCTGGCCTCTAGAACTGTAAGTCTATTGTGCACAGTGATTTCAGATTTTACCACACAGACTCCTGTCATCTCTCACAAACCTTCTGCCACGTCCCAAATCGTGACTTTGTTTTTGTCCCCAACCTTGGGGAAGTAGACGTAGCTGCCATGGTGGGACACCGCAGCGAGGCCAGTACGGTCCAAAAATGGAGCTGGAGACCACAGCTTCTGAATGGACGTGAGATCCCAGATCTTGAAGGATGAAGACTTCCAGGATGCAGACACCACCAGAGTCCCACCCCGGACCAGCAGGCTCGCAGGGGCACCCACGCCCTCCAGGACATGGAGTAGGGTACCCTGGTCCGATAGACTCCACACCTGAGGGTCAAGAACAGAGGGCCCGGTCCACCCTGGGAGTATGCTTTGGCCATGCGTCCACCTCTGCAGAATGTGGAGGCTCTGGTTCCAGGGTCCTCGCCAGACCTGGCCACTGAAGACTTCCTGGGGCTTCAGGATTCTCACAAGGTGTCCCAGGGAACTCTCAACAGGGGTGGGGGGTGGGGGAACTACAGAACCCCAAAGAGCCTCTCAGGGTCTGCAGCATTGAACTGTTTTCATAGCAATCCTAAGCATTGGCCTAAGTACTGCAGAAGCTGGATGAGTGAGACTACTGTGCGTGCGTGCGTGCATGCGTGCGTGTGTGTGTGTGTGTGTGTGTGTGTGTGTGTGTGTGCAGATGGCTCAGCTGTTAAGAACAACAGCTGCTCTTCCAGAGGACCCTGTTCAATTCCCAGCATGATGGTACAGAGCCATCTGTAACTCCAGTTCCAAGGATCCACCCTCCACTATCTCCAAGGGCAGCAGGCATGCACATGACAGACATGAGAGCAAGATACTCAGATATAAAATAACAAGGACAAGAAACTGACAAAAAAAAAATCTTCTGACTAAAAACTATGTCATCACGAGAATATGACATGTTAGCAGATTCATGAATATAGATTCTTGTATTGCTTCCTTTTGTTTTTGAAATAGGCTCTCAAGTTGCCCAGACCAGCCATGAGCTTGCCACGCAGCTGAGATAGGCTGGGACCACCACACCCAGCTTCATCCCCTCACTTGGGAGTTGCGGCATGAAGAGGCAGAGCCCTGTGGGAGGCACATGAGTCATGTGGAAAGGATTAAGTAGCTGGCTGTGCTTGTTCACACCTACAAATCCAAGGTGGACAGTGTAGGATCAAAACTCCACTCCATAGAAAATTTGAGGCTAACCCAGATTACATGAGACACTGTTTCCAAACTTGGGGGGGGAGTTCTCAGGAGAGGGGCCTGTTGCAGACAGGCAGGACTGACTTCTTTCTGCTCTCTGGCCTCCCCGTTCCTGTGTGACTGCTCCTTTACATAGGCTCACACCATTTGCACTGATGCGCTGTAGACAAGGAAGCCTCACCAGAACTGGTGCCATTCTATGCAATCAGTCAATTTCCAAAAAGTGTAAGCCGGAGAAATCTTTTTCCAGTTCCCAGCCTCAGGAATTTCATTATAGTAATAGGAAATGCAACCCTAACATTGGCATATATGTATACTACCTATGATAAACAGATAAATACTTCTACATAAATGGACTCTCACATCCTCAAGAGTATCTAAGATTGTAGAGAGGTAATCAGACCAAGATGCTGGGAAGCCCATAGTCCCGCCATTATAGTCTCACCAGTGTTTGACAACGGAGAATTTTCCTCTGCTGTGGCCCTGAAGGCCGCCACACTGAGTTCTCAGTTCTGGTTGGGAATACCACCTGCTTTGTGGAACATTCCAGTTCTCCTACTGGGGTGCAGGATGCCAGCACTCCAAACCCTCCCAGTAAACTCCCCTGTCTGTCTGAGCTCATCTGGCTTCTGTGTAATTTGTACTTAGCTGGTGTTAGGGTCCTGTGTTCTGAGGTTGGGAACCTGGATCCACCCTTACCTGGATGAGTGCATCCCGGGACCCCGTGACAATCAGGTTGTTCTCAGGCCCCCACACCGCCGTCTCCACCACGTCTTCATGCTCCAGATCCGTGGCCATGAACCGGTGGAAGCCTCGTGAGTTGGCCAAGAAAATCCGAACAGATCTTCCGAAGCCTGTCGTGGTAGTGGGTGCTCAGTTAGGCTTCCGAGGCTGGCAGAGCCTGAGAGCAGCTACTCAGTCCATGCAGCCTTTCCAGAGCACCTACTGTGCACCAGAGGAGGACCTACTTTGTGCCAGAGGAGCACTGTGTTCCCAGGGAACACCTACTATGTCCCGGGGAAGGGGTGCAAAAGCCAGAGGCAGGCATGCCCTCACCTCACACAGTCACTGGGTTGCAGGGAAACTGGTGAAACTCCCTATCACCACATGCACTGAGCTCCCTCAGGGCCCAGCACCATCAGCTGAGAACCAGATGAATGCCCAGACCACGGGAGGCATTTCCCACTGGAACCACCACATTTAGTTTCCCTAGCTTAAAAAAAAATCGTTACATTCTATTTACTTATTTACTTAATTAATTAATTTATTCATTTTGTATTTTGAGACAGGGTTTCTCTGTGTACCCCTGGCTGTCCTGGATTCACTCTGTAGACCAGGCTGGCCTCAAACTCACAGAGACTCTCCTGTCTTTGCCTCCCAAGTACTAAGATTAAAAGTGTATGCCACCATGCCCAGCACTTACTTATCTACTTACATATATATTTTGTGTGTGTGTGTGTGTGTGTGTGTGTGTGTTTCTGAACAATCATAATTCCCTATGGTGCAGATGTGGAGGTCAAAGGACAAGCTGTGGGTGTTATATCTACCAAGTGAGTCCCAGGGACCAATCCTGCTCAGCAGGATTGGCAGCAAGCACCTTTTCCCACTGAACTGTCACTGACCCTACTTTCCCTATCCTCTGTATCTGTGTGTGCGCATGCATGTGCACCCCCATACCATGTATGTACTTTCAGAGGACAAAGGAGGTTACTGAGTGTCCTTTGTCACTCCCAATTTCTCACCAAACCTGGGCCTAACCTCCTCTCTCTACTCCCTACAGCATGGGAGTTGCAGGCACACATGAACTACACCCGGACTTTTAACGCTGGACGTTCACATTTGCACAGTGCATGCTTCTAGCACTGGATCATTCCTCATCCCTAGACCCATCTATACACAATGTGGCTCCAAGGCTGCCACGGGAGCACAGAGGAATCAGTGTAAGCACACCACTGAGGCCCTTCCGACAGATGCAAAGGCATAGGTTACACACCCACTCACACACACACCACACAAAGGTTTCACTGTCGGATGTGTGCCCCAGGCTCATCCTCCCTGAACTTCCCCCGCACCAAGTTGAGCCAGCTGGAAGTCGGGAGCCAAGGTTTTTGGTGTTTGTCTTTAAGACAGGGTGTCTTGCAGCTTAGGCTGGCTTCAAACTTATAATGTGCCAAGGATGATTCTGACTCCCAGGCCTCTTGCCTCTGCTTTCCAAATGCTGAAATGACAGTCATGCACTGCTATGCCCAGGTTATGTGGCGCTGGGGGTGGAGCCCAGGGCTTCATGCATGCTAGGCTAGCACTGTAACAACTGAGCCATAAACACTCTATCTACTGAGCCACAGGCACTCTTCCCACTGAGCTCTAAGCACTCTACCAGCTAAGCCCAAGCATTCTACACTGAGCCCCAGCCTCTGCTTCAAATCTGTCCTCTTGCCTGTCCACACTCTCTGTAAAATTCCTTCTATTCTAGGTTCACTGACTCCCAAGAAAGAATGTTTTAGGATTCTATCTGATAAAACACATTGTGAAGTTTACCATACTTGCTGTCTAACCTTGGACACTAAATAAATGGCCCTTTGGGGACAGCGAGATGGGTGTGCTTGCCACCAAGCCTAACAACCCGAGTTCCATCCCTGAAACTCACATGGTAGAAGGAGAGAACTGACGTCCCAAACCTGTCCTCTGACCACACACACACACACACACACACACACACACACACACACACACACAGCAGCCAGTCAATGTTAAATGTGCAAGTAGCAGGCCTGAGCCTCACCCCCAGCATTGTGTAGCCCTGGCCTTGGCCTGTTTCTGGGGATAAGCATTCTCAGCCTCAGGGCTTCCTCCCTGATAATGACAGTCTAGTCTATGTACCTCCGTGCTTCCGTGGGAGTGTGGGGCAGACTCCATTGCACCTTAGGAGGGGCTGGCGACCAAGGTCAGCCTCATGAGTAATGCCAATGTGACCAACTCTGGGCAGGAAACTCAAAACCAGGGCTTAAGTGTTTCTGGGTATGGGTGCTGCATGCACACTGCCTCATGTCACTGCTGGGTACATTTCCTGCAGCACCGAGAGGAGAAGCAGACATTCCTGTTGTATCTCCGGGACACTGCCCATGCTCTTTCCTTTGCAGATTTTGTGTGAATGTGGGACATTCACCTATGCCAAGGCTGCAGGTTGTCGCTGGGTGCTGTCAACAACCACTCTTGACACTATTTTTTGAGACGGGGCCTCTCACAGACCTGGGACCCACTGATTGACTAGGCTGACTGACAGCAAGGCCCGGAGTCCCCTGTTTTTGCCTTTCCCATGCTAGGGTTACAAGCGTAACCATGAGGGGCAGCTGTTACTTTCTCTCAACTCAGGGGAGGGGTCATGGCTAGGGACTCACAGAGCTGATCATCTTGGGGACAGAACCCTGAAATTCTGCTAATCACTCTTAAAAACAAATCGCTGCCCAACTCAGGGTCAGACTGGTTCCCAGAGCATAGTCTGGAACTTTCAATCTGAGAATGGAGAAACAGCACAGCGCCCTCCTTCCTGGCCCCTGGTACACACAGACCTGAAAGCCAAGTGAGCACACACTGGGTGTTCCAGATGCTCGCGCCTCTGGCCTCCAGCCTCACTGCAGCCTTAACATTGTGTCTCTCATGTCATCCTCTCTCCTGTGCTATACACGACACCGGTGCTACCCACACCCCCTGTGCCACCGGCAGGCCCCATGAAAGCAGGACATGTGGTCAGTGGCACAGTCACTCAGGCGGTGCTGCAGCGCAGCCACCATCTGTCTCTCAGAGGCAGCCCTGAACCCACTGCTGCTGTGCCTTTCCTGTGTCCGTGTCTGTACCATGTGAGGGCTGAGCCCTTAGCATCCAAAAAGGGTGCCAGAACCCCTGGAACTGAGGTTACACAGGCTGTGCGCTGCTCTATGGGTGCTGGGAACTGAACGTAGGTCCTCTGCAAGAGCAGCTGGTGCTCTCAACTGTTATTTTGAAAATTTGGTAGAACAACAACAAACAGAAACCACCCATTCACAATATTTATATTGATTTCATGTTAAATATTTGGGTGTAGTGAATAAGCTAATCAATGTGATAAATATGGGTTGATTCAACAAATTCATCAACTATTAGGATTAATACCATCTTAAGTAACTAACAATTGATTAAAAGATGTTTAGTGGGACCGGAGCAATGGCTTGGCAGGTAGGCAATTCAGCATTAGGTGGCTCTTGAAGAGGACCTCGGTTCAGTTCCTAGAACCCACACAAGGTCACAACCATCTGTCTCTCCGGCATAAGGGTGAGCTGTTGCCTGTTGTCACTTTGGGCACTCACACCCATAACACACACACACACACACACACACACACACACACAAACACACACAAATTAAAGATAATAAAATAAAACTTAAAAGCATTTAAAAATCTCGAGAGGTGATTACCTCTGTGTATGGTGCACAGAGGTTATATAGGTGTAAGGTTACAGTGATTACAGATGTGTACACGGTTACAGGTGTGAATGGTGGGCACAGGTGTGTAGATATGGTTTATAGTGATGTATAGATGTGTATGGTGTATGGTGGGCACAGGTGTGTATGGCCAGTACAGTTGTGTGTGGTGGGTGGAGGTGGGTATGGTGGGAACAGGTGTGTGTGTGGCAGGTACAGTGTGTATGGTTGTGACTGTGTTTGGTGGGAAGAGAGGTGTATGGTGGGTACAGTGTGTTGGCGGGTACAGTGTGTTAGTGGGTACAGTGTATTTGGTTGTTACAGTGTGTTTGTGGATACAGTGTGTTTGTGGGTACAGTATGTTTGGTGGATACAGTGTGTTTGGTGGTTACAGTGTGTTTGGTGGA